CATCCAGGCGCAGTTCCTTGATTAAACAATGATATTCACCAAATTGTGTGCGACGCTTGATTACATTGAACCCAGACAGAGCGGCGTTTGTTGCTACGTTTGTAGGACTTCCACAGAAGGTACAAAGCAGCAATAGTTGTTATATTCTCCATAGTCAACGACAGAAATAACTTTTCGATCTTGCATGGAAGTGTAAACAACCTCAACTGTCCGTCAACGGTGCGGCGCGGCGCGTCAACGGTATGTCTGTTTTGAATGACGCGATAAAACAAACTGCAAGCCGCGGTGAAACTTGAGCGATTAGAGCGAAGCGAATATTCGCATCGCGTCCACTGTGAACGTAGCATAAGCGTATTATGGGGTGTCACCAAATGCCGTTGCCATGGTGACACATCATTCGCCATCAAGTTAGTTCAGAAGTTTGCAGTTCAAATATTCTGCTGCTTTTCCAAGCCTTTTTACTTTCTTTTCTTCTCTCATCACACATTCAAGCCCCCAGTGTTCATGTATCATTTCAATCTAAATTATTCACTTTCTTCTTACACATTACATTTCAGCATAGCAGTTTAGTGTCAGCTTTTCAGCATAAAGCATTCCCACTAGCAATTTCTTCAGGAATTGCATTCTCTAGTATTTACTGGTATTAACTGTACAAGGCTATCTCTAAATCCTTAAATTCCATTTCTCAATTCATGTTGTTCCTTGGTAAAGTACTACACTAAACGGTATTTAACCAATAACAAATCATTACTTTATTATGACCAATAAGAATTCAGAATTAGCCATGAACAATTATTAACGTTACATATTAATTAATTTACATAATAAGACTTCAATTCTATTCACCTTTTGGACAAAGATTCAATCCGTCAAACATGCATTTTGTCAAACCATGTTCAAAGTCCAAAATGCAGCTACAGTTCATTCAGCGTTCAATAATGTAGATACTCTTTGAGCTAATAGTGAGCAACACATTTTTTATATGTTATGTTATAAAAATGTCATCTCCTCCAGATGCTCCAACTATTCCCTCTGTGTCAGTGAGTCCCTCTGCTGAGATAGAGGAGGGCAGTTCAGTGACTCTGACCTGTAGCAGTGATGCTAACCCAGCAGCTAACTACACCTGGTACAAGAGGAATAACAATTCAGACCTTCCTCCTCTCAGTGAAGGACAACGTCTTGTCTTCAGATCCATCCAGTCCTCTGACTCTGGACAGTATTACTGTACAGCTGAGAACGAGCTGGGGACGAAGACATCTGAAAACATCTTTATTGATGTGAAATGTGAGTCAAACAACTTATTTAAAGGTTGAATCTGTCCATGTATGACAAGGGAAGGTTGTACTGTTCATTACTACTTTTTCAGCTCTATTATTTTATGACTGAGTTTTGTTTCCACTTCTCCTCCAGATGCTCCAAAGCCTCCCTCTGTGTCAGTGAGTCCCTCTGCTGAGATAGAGGAGGGCAGTTCAGTGACTCTGACCTGTAGCAGTGATGCTAACCCAGCAGCTAACCACACCTGGTACAAGGATGAAACTTCATACTCTTCTATTCTGAATGAAGAACCACAGTTTGTCTTTGGCTCCATGCAGGCGTCTGACTCTGGAAAGTATTTCTGTTCAGCTGAGAACACGATGGGAAGGAGGACATCTGAAAAGTTGTTTATTGATGTGAAATGTGAGTGAAACAGTTATTTCAAGGCGCTCCAAAGCCAGCGAAGAGATATAATCCCTCCACCTGGTCCTAGATCTGCCCCTCGGTCTCCTCCCAGCTGGACGTGCCTAGAACACCTAGGGAGGCGCCCAGGTGGCATCCTTACCAGGTGCAGCGGTTCAACTCCGAGTTCCTCCCAGATGACTGAACTTCTCAACTTATCCCGAAGGGAGACGCCAGCAACCTTACCAAGAAAACCCATCCCGGCCTCTGGTATCCGCGATCTCGTTCTTTCGATCATGACCCATCCTTCATGACCATAGGTGAGGGTAGGAACGAAAATGGCCCGGTAGACAGAGAGCTTTGCCTTCTGGCTCAGCTCACTTTTCGTGTGAGACTCATCATCTGCAAAAAGCATTGGTGGAATCTTTATCTCACCGATCTGCAGACCCCCTCCCACACGACTACGCCTTGAAATCCTGACCATGAATATCACAAACAGGATTGGTGACAAAGCGCAGCACTGGCGGAGGCCAACCCTCACCTGAAATGGGTCCGACTTAGTACCCATTTTTTTTATTTTGGCCCACTGTGTATTTGAGTTTGACACCCCTGCTCTACATTAACACTAATGTCCGTTTCCAATCAACGGTTACCACCGCTTGTTGCATGATTTAAAAATTATAAGCAGAAATAGTCGTCTGAATGCGGAGTTGAAAAAGCAAAAAGATCAAGTAGAATAGTTCAGAAGCCAATCATTAATCTTTACATTAAAAACAAAATTAAAACACGATTCAGTAGACTCTGACTAAACAAATGTGTTTATAGTCTTTCACTCTTTAGGTGTTTTGAATGAAGTGGTGCCGACAGCAGTTTCCTGTTCTCTTCATTCTTAAAGTACGGAGCTGTGCGGAGTACCACATTAGTGTTAATGCCCCTTAAGCATTGATAAAATATTCATTATGGTAATTGAGAACTGTGAACGCTGCTCAATGACACTGAGGCTGATGGAGCAGCAGTCGTGACTGTTCTTATTCTCCCCCTCCCTCACTCACTACCTCCCCCCTTCCTCTTTCTCTCTCGGTCCACTCCTTTACAGCTCAGCCAGTTTCTAGATTCCTCTCTCCTGCTTTATCAAAACTGCCACTCTCTCCACTTTGCCCTCTTTGTTCTTCATCCATTTCTTCTTTACTGCCTCTTTTCTTTCTCTTTCTCCTTTCCTTCCCTTCCTTCTATCATCCTTGTTTTCTTTCCTTCATTACTTTTTTCCTGCTTTGTGTATTATGTCCTTTTTGTTTTATTATTTCCTCCCTATCTTTCCCCGTTCTCTCGCTAGCTTTGTTTCGTTCTTCCTCACTTCCATTCCTCTTTTCCTTCCTTCTTTATTTATCCCCCATTTTCCTTTTCCCCTTTCCATTGTTCCTTCTTTCTTTTTGAATGTTTTTTCCTTGCTCTCTTTACTTCAGCTTTGGTACATTTTCTTCCTGTTTCCCTTCCTTTCTGCATTTTGTATTTAACTTCCGTTCTTCCTTTGCACCAATTCCTCATGCTCATTCCTTAATTCCTTACTAGTTTGCTCTATCCTCCCCTTCCTTAGATTTTATTTCCTTATTTTCATCTTGTTGGTTCATTTCTTTGAGCAAGTTTTACCTATTGCCTTTCCCTCTTTCCTTCCACACCTTACCTCATCTAAATGGTGTTCACCAACCCTCTTTCTCCCTACCCTCTCATGACTTTAAATCTAGCCTCTCACTCTCCACGAGGAGGCACCGAGTTGTGGCTGCAGACTTGTAGTCTCACAAGGAAGTCCACAGAGAAAGAGAAACCGCTTTTTTGTCCTTCAGTCAAGACAATCAATGTCAGCCTGACCCTCTGCAAAGTCAGTATGGCACACACACACACGCGCGCGCGCACACACACACGCGCACACACACACACACACACACACACACACACACACACACACACACACACACACACACACACACACACACACACCTCTGTACACCAGTAAACAATTCCACCTACTCTTTTCACGTACAGGCCCAAACATATGCTAAAAAAAATTTAACAGGAGAAACAAGCAAGAATAGAAAGCAAAAGCAAACAATGGACGGACACACACGGGGAGAGAGAGACTCACACACGCACACGATAAAAGAGTTAGAGAAAAAGATTACACTGCACCGACAGAGACTTACTGATGAATGCAGGTCCAGATTCAGATCTTTCCCGCTAACACACACACACACACACACACACACACACACACACACACACACACACACACACGTCTATAACTCTGTGTCATGGAGGTCAGATAGCAAAAGCCATTAAGGTCACTCTGTACAAGAGGTTGTGCTACACAGCAGATGTTAGTAGTTGGAAATGCACCCAGACTGAGAGAACTTCCATCTTGTTGCAGATTCGTTCTGCACCAACAGTCTTTTTACTTCACCCCTACATTTTTTATAAAATGTGTGTGCATATGTTTTGAATGGGAAATCTCCACACTCAAAAGCAGGTGCAGGTTGGACTTAGTTACATTTTGGAAAAAACCCCTGCTGTTTTTAACGAGCAGTCCTTTCTTTTATCCTAATATACATTCATTTATTTTATTTTTCATTAAAATTTCACACAATGGCTCTTTCTATAAATAATGATAATCATTATAATTCTATGAATAAAGAAACCCAAAATATGTTCTTAGTTTGTGCGGAATTGCAGCTTTAACAATTGTTTTGGACGTTATTCCTCCATTAATTAGAAGCCAGCTTCTATTTTAGCATCACAGCCATCTGGAATTGCTGATTTCAGGGTTATCCCACTAAACACATGTTTCAAGTTTTTATATTATGTTTCTGTGGCCGAAACTGGCAGCTTATATTGTAATGATATGCTCCCTTAGCAAACCAAATATTAATTTAACACTGCGGATCAAAAAGTAATAAGGTGTCCTTGGGTACTGTGTAAAAAGTTAATTCAACCATAGCTTTCATGCACTGGACCAGACAGCACTGAACTGGCCTTGACTAGATGGAGCTGAAATGACCTGACTCCGGTGAATTGGACTGATGAAAAGGGCTGGACTGAACTGGAAAACACAGATTAAACTGGACAGGACTGAATTACAATGCTGAACAAAAGACTTGACCATACATGGCCGGACATCTCCAGACTGGATTGACTTAACCAGTATAGGGAATTGGACGATCATGTGGTGTTCTGAATGGTATACACATGCTATAGAATATATACTATAACACAATCTGCAGTGGCTGAATTGTCTGTTTTAACATCTGTCTGCCAGCTCACTTAATTATAACGAAGCATCAGTTAAGAATCTATCTTCCCCATTTTTGTGTGCTCTTTAGACTCTCACTGCTTGAGCATATAGTTGAGAAAATGGCATGCAACAATTTTATTGGAGTTTATAACAAAAAGACTCTGAAGGTTTGCTAACAATGGGCTCATTTGGGTCCGGCAGTGGCTCAGTCAGTAGGGGCTTGGACAGTGAGCAGTAGGGTCGCCGGTTCAAGTCCCCGACCAGACCTTAAATATGGAGTGTGGACTGCTACTTGGAGAGGTCCCAGTTCCCCTGCTGCCCTGCCGTGGTGCCCTTGAGCAAGGCACCGGACATCCCCCTCCCCCCCTCACTCCCATTGCTCCCCGGGTGCTGTACAATAGCTGCCCACTGCTCCTAGTGCTAGACTCCTGATACTAGGATGGGTTAAAAGCAGAGAGCACATTTCACTGTGTGTGCTGTGTGCTCTGCATGTGTGGCCATTAAAGAGGGTTTCATCCCTCCCATTCTATCTTCTATTTGCAGATTTAGCTTCATCGCAATGAGCCGCACAAAGATTTATTATGAAGCCTGCTGCTAGGAATTTCTTTGTAAAACTATAATGGTGACACAGAGAGGTTATTGCTCCTTCTTCACACAGACAAACACCACACTCTCCATCCCATCCCTGTCTTTTATCGTACCCAGGATGGCCAGCACCATGCCGTCTTTCAGCACCTCCATGGACCCGGAGCAGACGAAGAAGATGGCTTGGAGAGCATCCCCCTGACGGAGGAGGTACTCTCCAGGAGCGCAGAAGGAAGTCTTGATGTGGAGTGACAAGGAGCGAAGGCAGCCGCGACTGGCCGAGGTGAACAGCGACAGCTCCAGGATCTCCTTGTTAAGGTGCATGGTGATGTCGGAGCGCAGCTCGTCCGGGAAGTCCTTCAGCAGCTGTGAAGAGGATGGGAGGGTAAGATAGAGAGAGAGAGTGAGAGCAGATCACGACAGCTGTGAAAGCACAGCCATACTGCAACTCAGTGATTACTTTTTCTGCCTTGGTTGCCTTTTATTTGATTCCTAAGCTATTGTACCACAGGAAACTTTGGCGTGGAGTCATTAACACAGCCTAAAATTAAAATCTGCACACAACACCATAGAGATTCAGAAAAAGGAAACCTCTAACAAAAACGTCTTTCCCTCTTCCAGGACATACAGTACATCTAAGATGTAGTTGTTAGGGCGTAGAAGGTTTATATTCCCTTGATGCTGAACCCTTGGAATAAAGATATCTGTTCAAATGACTCACTAGTATTTCTCATATAAAAATGTATAAATCAACACAGTTTCTACCCACGTAACAAACCGTCAGCCATGGGGAAGCCCTATTTTCAGTCATATTGTCATCATCTGTCTGTCAGTCTCCTTGTCAGGATCTCACCGTCGTACAGAGTGGATCAATGAATCATCAGAGCCAGGCTGACTTTAATCAACAGGCTCATATATAATTCATCTGTCTGGGATTCATCATCATCGCTCCATCTAAACACTGGTCTGGGATCTGACAGCTGTCTCAGAGGCATTCACAGCCCGCATGGACGGGGCAATAACTGGCTGCCTCCGTTTCAGAGAAGGCACTGTTCACCCTCTCTGTTTGTCTTTTCTAAAAGCTGCCCTTGTGCCATGTTGTTGTTAATATTTTAAACCAAGTGTAATATCCTCTTGCAGTCCTGCAATCATGTAAACAAAGTTTACCTCGAAAGGTAATTGAGAAAACGGTTTGGTCAATGGGAACTTGATTTTAAGGAGACAGGGCTGCACATTTTTTGTACATTCATTGTATTATGAGAAAAGCAAGAGTAAGCTAGATTTTACGTGACCTCCCGCGTGTGACGTAACATGGGGGAAACAAGAGGGAGAGCGGCCGGTGTAACATATTAATAAACATGGATCCCAATGCTAGTTTCGACACAGAAGACACAGAAGAAGTTGAACATGAATATTCGAATGCATATGACGGACCACAACCTTATAATTATGAGCCTGCTAGGCGTCCAAGAGACCAGGAGCAGCCAAGGATCTAGAAGAATAACGGCCATCGGAGAGAAATTGAGCTGTGGTGGTGGAGGAGAACCGTGGAGAACCATGGGCAGGCGCTATCTTGGTGAGTGACCCAGCGATTAGCTACAGAATGCGTTAGCCTAACGTCACACTCACAACACTTGCTGAAGTTAGCTATCATATATCAGGGCGCTTATAACTAAAGTAGCATTGATAATATAGTCATCGTTGCTAGGCAGGACCTGTTGGATACTGATCCATAACAGAAACTAATGGCCAAGTATCGCCGTATCTCGCGCGCGTTACTTACTACCCGTAATTGCAACGCAACTCCACACCCAAGCGCGCCCCCTACGCCTGTGTGCTTGTGACGCCGGACGCGAGATACGGCTGAAGTACTGACAGTGCCGTGACATTAAGGATTTTTGGGAAGATGGGCCCTGTGGGTCACCCCGACCACGCAATCTAAGCCTAATTTAACCAGATGGCCCTGAGCAATGAGATGCCGCTGAAAATGTGCGCGGACGACAATGATGGCCGAAGGATTCTGGGGGCCTCTTCCTAGAACATTTAGATTTTTGCAGGTCTTTAGATCTGTCTGGTGCATTCTATAGATCTGAATTATAAGATGAACACCACAGTATCTCAATTTCAATGAGCTTCATTTCACTTGTTGTGTTTGCTCGCTTGCATGCCTGACATAGCTATAATAAATCTTAGGTTGTTGGTCGAACTTTCCATCTGTTTGAAGGCAATGCCCTTCCCAGATGTAAAAAAGGTAGAAAACATTCATGCAGTTATAACTGCCAAACAACTTANTGGGTTAGGCAAAGATTATGATTTGGTTTAAAATTTGTATATGTTTGTTATGTGGTTAAGCTCATTATGTTCGAAAATAAAATAATAAAAAATAATAGTAAAAACAAGGTGTTCTAGCTGTGTAGTGAACACTTGCTGAGTACGATATTTTGAAATAAGATGGGATATTTAGATAAATGAGATCTTGTAATTAGCTTGGAAAACATATTTTGAACTATATTTACCAGAATCAGGAAATGCTGTTACAAAATAAAAATAAGATTCATACAATTTATTTCTTAGAACAAGATGATCCATCTTTTACAAATATCACAGCAGCTTAAAAAAAATTGTTTCATCTGAGATACAACTAAGATGTTTTGAAGAGTCTTGAAGATGCATTGTCTAAAAACAAGACCGTATATCTCACTGCATTGTTACTATTATGTCTTATATCAATTGTAAAGACATATTCTGACTAGATATTTGACAAATATACTATGCGCGTGAGGCTCAGGTTTGGGAAGGCTAAAATACTTTTTTTACCTGACGCTGCCCGCCTCCTGCGCGTCTATAGAAAAGAGATCAACTCAGTGAAACCGCCTGCTGACCAATCAGAGCTCAGTGTGAGGAGTTTAAATCTATCAAGTCATATTACAGGATAAAGGAAATACAGTTTAAACTGACGTATGCAGAGAAGACGCCGACGTGTCGCACTTATCATTAATATCACATCATCAATCAGTACATCGATCATATAATATATCATATTTCCTTATCTGAGCCAGCTTCTCGAGCCGTATCTGGCTGTATGCAGAAGTATTATTTTAAGCAACACATTAAGTTGACGAAACACTCAACTCAAATGTAATTAAAGTCAGATCCACTCGTGTCTTAGATGGGGCAGTGATATCATAAAACTGTTGTACGCTTTCAAACACTCTGTAGTTTATTTAATCACATAAAACTCATTACTACAATCACAATAAAAGACAATAAATTACAACAGATATATATAAAAAACACAGGGAAAAGTCAGGAGTCGATAACTCAAACATATCCAGGGTCTGTTGAACTGGCTTCGTAGTACAGGGCACAGGTGGCTGCATAGCAGCGCTAATGTCAAAGACACAAACATTATACATTATATTTTTTTATTTTACCAGGATGCAGTGACACAAATATTTTGGAAGGCTTAGCCTTCCCTAGCCTACAGTACCCGCCGCCCCTGACTATACAGTTCTACTTAGTTTAAGTTATGCACAAAACTATACACAACTTGACTATTGGTTTCACGTGAGACAAGTAAAAGCCCGGCATTCAAAATGTTACTCAATGTATTAGCATCAAAATATACTCAAAGTACCAAAAGTAAAAGTAGTCATTGTGCAGATTGGTTCATTTCAGAATAATATGTATGATATGTTTTGATTACAATTATTGATGCATTTATCAATTAGATTTTTGTTGATTCTCTTTCCCATCCTTAATCCAGATCTGCAAAGTTACTAAAGGTATTCAATATGTAGTGGAGTAAAGCTACACCATTTACCTCTGAACTGTAGTAAAAGAAGCAAAACATTGAAATACTCAAGCAAAGTACCTCTACAAATTCAGTAGACTTAACATTTGCTGTGATGTATTTTTATCTGATTCTTCATTTTGACAGATCACAGACACACATTTCCCCATACGCACCACCCCTTATCCACCCACCTACCCCTGGCCCAACGTTTACGCAAGAGGGTGCACAGCATGGAAAGACGGCACAAAAAGAAACGGAAAAAAAGAAGGACCTCTCTCCCCCCCTCCGAAGAAACGCCCACCATCCAAGAGGTAGATGAGGAAGAGGCCGATTCTGAGACAGACAGACAGGCAGGATCCGCCTCCAAAGAGAGACCGGATATCCAACCACAGGTAAAATAGGACTGAGGAACCATGGGACCTGTACCATGGGACGTTTCTCAACTCCCCGCTTGAACTATGTCCAAGCACGTTCCTCCCCTCTCACTGATCTTCCTCTTCCTCTCAGTTTAGTTTGGGGAGCCAAGATGACTTGGAGGAACCCCATCCGCCCAATACCTTCCACACAGAAAATGAAGAACATCCATTATCAAGGAAAGCTGCCCCTGCTGTGATTAAGGGGGAGGTTCATAATGGAGGAATTACTGTTCTTGAACAGAAGGAGGAGGTGCATGGAGAGGAAGGAGCTCGCAACAGGTAGGCTGTTATATAATCAGGTTCTGTTTGTTCTGAAAACTGTTGTCTGCATGGGCTCATGATCACAGTAAAGGTAGTACCAAGTGGGAGCCTGATCATTTAAGCTAATGCGGGAATGTCTTAAAGCTGCATTATTTTTAATGGCCAGCAGGGGCCACTCAACTTGTTACTAATTCTAAATTGTTTAGAAGTCAATGAAAAAAATGACCCGACTTCTTGATTTATAACCTCAGTAATAATCGTCCTTCTTTTGAACCTGATTTTGCTTTCCAAATTAATATCACAGTTAAAAATTGAAAAGACATACACATGAACATTGCTAACCAAGCTAGCATTTGATGGTGAATTAGCATTATGCAAATAGAGAGCAAGATATAGGATTCGGTGGAGCAGAGCTGAAGATAAATACTAATGTAAATTCAAAATGTATACAGTAATTAGGCAGTTATTTTGTATAGCTTTTGTCGGAAGAATTTTATAACATGATCATTTGTCAGTTTTCTGCTGCTACCGTGTTGTATACGTTGTTATATGTTCATCCAATATGTGGCTCATTCGCAGCTCATTGGTGCACTTTGTTCAAAAGCTATTAGCAAACTTTGTCTATCGTTCCTCTGGGGTTGGGTTAGCAGCGTACAGTAGGTTCATCAGGCCATTTTCCCTGTGAACAGCTGCTAGCTGTGGCTGGAAACAAGTTGATTAGAGAAATGAGAATGAAATGAAACTGTGGGCCATAAAACTAAAACAATTAAGCTTGAATATGCCAAAACACTCCGTAGAGTTGGGTTTTAATTATCTGTTGGTTTGTTACTATGAGCACAGTAAACACCGTCTTTGAATCCATTGTTATTGGTTGATATAAAACTATAATTATG